ATTTTGTTTGATCTGATCAGCATGATCGAAGTATGAGTAATCTTCTCGTACTATTTTCTTTTATTGACACAATTTTTAACAAAAATAATATTTACAATAAAGGAAAATATTGATGAAAATTTTTTGGAGGAACAAACGGCTCCTTTACACGAAGACAAGTCAATTTCGAACAAGTGAAATATGTTGCATCATTGGTGAAATTGTTTGTGACCAGTGCGAGTGATTCATAGCCAATATTAAGGTCTAGCAAACAAGGTAAATGACAGTGTTTATCGACGAGAAATTGTTCAGCATAATCTACATGAGCGCAATCAAGATTGAGCAAAATAAGATGAGAAAATATGATTAATGTCATCGATTGTTGCTTGTGTTTCTGTGGCTTATTATTAAATATATACAACTTTTTCAAGAGAGGAAAACTTTTCGAGATGACTTTGAAGAAGTTATGCTCAAAAGGGCGTATGTCCGTCATCAGTACCGATTGAACATTACCAAACACGCCACCTTGAAAAGAATTGTTTAAATGAAAAAAACTTATAAATTGATATGGAAGTGAATGGATGTGGCATCTACTGTTGAACTCGTATGGAAGTGAATACTTGTGGCCTCTACTTTCCTTTTCTCTTGAGAATACTTCAACATATGAAACAACTGGTCCATATTTTGTTCTAATAAAACTACGTTGAATATCTTCATTCGATGACAGAGGTATTTCAATATTCTTCTTGATTATACATGTGTCTATATTGAAAGTAAATTTGTTTAATCGTGGCATATAAATAAGAATTGAATTATATAATTCAGTGCCATCAATATAATTCGAGTCAGTTCTTGTTATTGACAGAAATAATCTCAATTCTTCAAGATTTATCATTCGTTGAAGTAGTGGAATAATTAGATTATCATAAACAACTGTGCGTGGACACGAGCATAATGAGAAATGTTTCAATTTGGGAAGTTTTTTCTATGAAAATGAAACAAAGATTCTTAGAAGCCAATAATTGACAATAATACTAACCGTATTATCTATAGTTGCTAATGTATGTGTAATTTCTCCAACATGTACAATCATTGTTGATAAACAATTGAACCGTCCATCAAGTAGATAAAGACAATCATCGAAAGTTTCCACATCAATTTTCAATGTAGTCAAAGTTGAAGACTTGCAATTGGTCGATAAGTCAAAAGTACAAAACGTTGATCGATGATCGAATTGACAAAAATCTAACTTGATTAGTTGTTTACATAAAGATAAAATAAAAACAAACATAGTTGAAAGCTTTTCAGGAAGTGGTGGTGATCCTGTCGTATCCTTAACATCAATTTGAAGATGTGTAATTTGTTCATTGAGAAGCTTGCGAAGAATTGTATTATCTTTATTTGAGAGAAAAACGAAGGAAAACAATTATTAATTTATATACAACGATTTCCTTATTGTATTAGTTCAAATAAAAATAAAACAATTTACCTGCTAAATATTCGAGCAGTACTTCTTCTTCAAAATCTATAAGCGACAACGAGTAAAGTTGAGGATAATTGGTTGTATGAAGAACACGTTCCATTGAATGTTGTTCAACAATGAGTTCATTTACTTGATCATGAATTCGAGGTAAAATGTTTTTACAAATTTTTGAAAGAACTTCATTGTCTATTGAGTAGATACGATCCTCAAATGATTTCATTGTCATGGAGGTCATATCAAGTTTACGAATATAAACTGGATCAAGTACTAATTGATCAAGCCGTTTACTAACATCCACAAGTGAATAGAGAACATCGACCATATTTAGTTTCTTAAATATAATGAGTAAAATTTCATTTGGTGAATCGAGTAGATGAAGATGATTGTTATTCGAAATGTTCATGTCTAATTTATTCTGTTCAATCGTGTTAATTTATATATAAATATCTATTTTTCTCATTGCTGTCTGAGAGAACAATGAAGGATAAATATTCATGTTATAATAATAGACTATGATGAATAGATGATGTCATTTTTCTTTCTGTCAAACATTCTCTTGTTGTTTATTGGCCGGTCATTCTTCTTTTCTCAGAATGTTTCTCATGTATAATATACTTTTTAGAATATACAAGTAACACGTCAACCTCAAGTGCCTTACTTAATTGAATTTTGAAAAATCGTACAAAGGTTATGTGTCATGAAAGTATACACAATCTGATTTGGTATTATATCTGATAGACTAAAAGTAATCTTTCGTGAATCTTGGCGTTAGATTTAAATATTTTTAAATTTGGACTTAAAGTTGAATGTCAACATTTGCGATATACCTCATCACATTGATAGCATGCCATTGTATTTGATGATTTAGTACGGCACATTTTCGATTTAATAAGATGGACTTTTTACCGGAGGGATTAACAATATAATTCGAAATACTTCAAAATAGAAAATGTTAATCAATATAAGAATACTAAACGTTTAATGAACGACACTTTTGAAAACAGTGATAAAAATAAGCTCTCCGCCCATGTTGAAAATGGGACAAAAATAGTAAGAATAGAGAAGTTATCTTTTTTTACAGGAAAAAAAAATAAAAGAGATGACTTTTCCATATACGACTATATAGCGGTAATCAAAAGATTCTGATCTTTCTTTTTTTCATTGTTCCTTATGCAGCTTAACGATCGCTTCCAACCAATGCAGTTGTTTGCAAATAGTCAGCATCATTTGTTTTGGTCGTATAAGCCAATCATTTCGACAGCATAAAGCAACTTCAGATTTTGAAAATATTGTCATCTCAATGATGCATTATGGATACATAAGTATTATATACCGAATCTATCATCGATTTCAGGTCGGTACTGAGAATTGAAGATGAGGAAAAGTGAAGATTAGAAAAGGAAATTCGAATGCAAGATGTTTTTTTGCAAAATATATTTGGATTGGAAGATCTTCTTGTCAACAATATTTTGAAGGTTTTTCAATCTTTGAAAACCTTTGATAATTTTAAAAAAACTGGAGAACCAATTTAGGTTCTTCGTAGTACCTTTTTAAGCCTCAGAAACTTCGGAAATTTACACAGTTTCCGAAGAAACACCTTGGAAACCAAAATGATACCATGAAATACACTTTCGGAAGCTAGATCGACTTTTTTGGAAATATCACTTTTCTAAAATACTTTTATGGTTTCCGAGAATATTCAACAAGCTTTCAACAGCAACAAACGAGTATTCTAGGATGTTCAAATTGGTATTTTCCAAAAACCTTTGAATTTTCAAACCTTCGGAAATCAAGAAGATATTTTCGAAAATGATTGAGGAGATCGAAAACTCTTTGGTAAACCATAAAAGGCTTTCGGAAAGGTTTTCAAATGGATTTGAGTTTTCCACGATACGTTTTTCTTTTAGAATGTGAAAGTGACGAATATTCTAGAAATCGTGTGAGTATAATCGAACAACCTAATAAAAACATACCTCTATCATGATTTCATTGGTTTTTTTCATTTTGATTTCATGTTACCTTACTAAATTCTTATTCTTATCCTATGGTACACTGCTATTCCTCACAAAATCTTTACTCTGATCTTATCTTAGTCTGCCTTTTTCCTGGAAAACTGCTAGCATTACCCTACTCTATCCTACACATCTTAAAATATAAACCGATTGATTAACTTAAACTGGACAATAAAAATTTTTGCACCTATACCAAAGTCCAACGTGAGTCAATTTTTCAAATTCGACTTGGCTCTTACACAGACTTGCGCAGTCCTCTAAGGAAGATTTGTTTAATGACCCTGGACAAGTCACTAACGGCTATTTGTCTCAGATCACCCGTACGATAGCATAATGACTACATTGTGACATACACTTGCCCTTGTGGATAGTATGTGGCTAGTCATTGTGTGCGGGGAGCTTAAGTGATTAAGCGGAAAAACTCTGAGTCAGGCCGGGCTTCTATCCACAGCTACAGCTAGTAATAGTTGTAGGAAAAATATCGGACTTTCGCAACTGTCTCCGGACAGCATCCCATACAGCCAGGTAGCCGAAAGGCAGGGTACTCTTCTCTTCTCTTCTAATTCTGATAATCGACTGTCCATGTGGTCTTGATGTGTTCATATTATATCTCGATGTTGTCAATAACAAGTGAATATTTATTATCTAATTCCACTTTTCTATCTAATAATTTAATATCAAGAACAGCTAAATATAGAAAAGTTTGTTTGATATTAATTTTATTTATTTTTAATTTTTTTAATTTAGGCTTATACAGGAACTCTTTAAGCTGTGCGTATTATTCAATTAGTTGAATTATCTGTATCATTTATAAGTGTTCTTGTTTCATTTATAATATTTCTTACTCTAAAGTAAAAATTAATTAATAAAAAGAGAAAAAAAATCATTTGTTTATATTGTTTGTTTTTTGAATAGATCACTCTATTACAGTCAAACAAAAATTCATAGAAATCTATTACTAGCAATATTTATTGAAATAGTTGCTCGAATTGTTAATTATGCATATGAATTTTATTAAATAATTTCAATTAAATATTTCAAAAATTCTTTTAAAATTCAAATGAAACAATCACATAACTCTGCACCTATAACAGGGTACTTACAATTAGATCTGCTAGATGATGCTAAAAAGTTTCTCTTCTCTTAGTGCTTCATCTCAAGTGCTAATAAAACATTTTCAACACGCTGAACAAGCTCACAATGCGATTTCTTTTCTGTGAGTACTACTATCTTGCCATAGTTCTAGTTTCCAATAGCACTGTTATGAATTGAAGTGTTCCCTTTCATTCATAACATGAAACAAACAGAATAAGATACACTTCTTTCTAGTACAGTGGTTAATACGAGTGCCCGACAAGCAGAAGATGCGTGGTTCGATTTCATGCGAAGGAAGATTATTCTTTTGTTTCCTTCTGTAATACCATCACGTTGCTATCTCGGTGATATCAGAGTATAGTATGAGAATACGAGCAATAAAAAGAAAAAGGATATAACAAGCAACAATCAAAAACTCTTTCCCAGATGCAGCTTGTCAAATCGGTTCAGAACCTGACTGACTCTAAGATTCAGCGATGAGTCCGAAATTTTTCTGTTGAACATATTCAAATCTAGATCCAGGTGCAAGCCCTAGAATTCAGACGTGATGGGCTCTAGCTGCAAGCAAGGGTAAGTTCTAACTTGGTTATTACGATATTATCGTCAAGATTCTCTGGAAAATGTGTAGAGTGTGCTAGTCACCGAAAAATTAATCGAAAAAAATGTAGTGTCTTTGAAATGATTATCAGATTGGGAATAAAAAAAAATTCCGTTGAGGGCACGAAGATTACTATCCTGAATTCGGATTCAAAAATTTTGCATTCGATGGGTTATATTTAAAGATCACTATTCAATCAAGACAAAAGTTTAAGTGACGCTTTCAATACACTTTTTTTGCCATAAGTTGCAAACTCATTTCTGATCTGCACTAATGTTATGCATTACAAAATGTGAGTTCGAAATAAAGGGGATTAATTGTGTTTTATTTGAATAGCATAGCATAAAAAAATTACCTTCTCTATTTTTAATCTGTTAGTAAAGGACTTATAAAAACTATTGAGCGTATCCTACATTGAAAATATTCGACCACCTATGGTAGACATTAATAAGCAAGTGAACTTAATAATCTTAATTGTAATGGTATAGAAGCTGAAATGTGATATTTGTTTAAAATGTTTTATCTTGAAAATGAAGATATTTAACTGCAATTCTATAATAACATAAATGAAGATTGATGATTTGATTTTTCATCATAATAATTGATTAACTTAAAAGAATTTTTATCAATGCGCATTTTATTAAATATTCTGTATCTACTAAGTAATTAATGATTATTGCATAGAATCTGTATGTCATGGATAACATAATATTGATCATATTTTTGTTTTATTTAAATAAGAGTTTGATTAAAATTGAAAATTTATTTTTCTCAACAATGATGAACAATGAGTAATTAAAATCATTAATAAAAATAATCAAACGAAATTCTTTTTGATTTTTCTTTCAAAGAACAATAGTTGTTGAATTTCAGTTTGATGTTTTATATAGTATTTCTATATTTTTCTTTCTTGCATTTTTCTAACATATGATTGACAGAGAATAGAAAATTGAACAATATGAAAAAAAAGCTTTTTTTTTTCAAGAGGTTTCTCATGATTATCAATCAATAATATGAACAAATTGATCTAGTAGAGATTTATCAGCAAAAACAAAAGTGAAAAGATTTCTTTTCCTTTCTAAACTAGTTAATTTGTTGTATGAAAACATGTTTTATTAGTTCTGCTTAAAATAAGAAAAACCAAAAGTTATTGTTGATCAGAAGTATCTTATTCATCTTTTTCTTAAAATGTAAACAGATAGATGTAAATAACAATAAATCTATTCCATGTTGAAGTATACCACACATGGAAAATATTCTTTTTTTTTTTTCTTATTGGAATGATTTTATTTCACTTGATCATCATGATTGAAATATATATTTGACTTGTGCAAACTGCTTTCTTTTATTGATAGAATTTTTAACAAAAAAAAAAAAGAATGATTATTATAATAAAGGAAAATACTGATGAAAATTTTCTGGACGAACAAATGGTTCAGATATGTCAAGACATTTCAATTTGCTACAAGTGATACGTGCTGCATCATTTGTAAAATTGTTTGTAACTATTGCGAGTGATTCATATTTAATAGAAAGATTCAATAAACGAGGTAGATGAATGTTTTTATCGAAGAGAAATTCTTCAATATAATCCATATGTGCCATCACTAGATTAAG